CAACTGGAAAGTGTTGGACATCTACACTGCCAGCGACCATCATGCGATATTCTGAGAAATATCAAACGACCAGAACCTCAAGAGACCAATCAAGCAACCTAACATTGTTGGTTGGAAGGTGAAATCTTTTGACCCAGAAGCATTGCTAATAGCCCTCGATGGTTATCCGATCAACACTGGATGTGCAGAAGAACAGACTAAAGACCTGATGAGGAGAGTAAGACATGCTTGTGATGCCTGTGTGCCTCGTAAACGTGGCATAAATTCTAGACCTTCGGTGCATTGGTGGAACGACCACATCAGCGCCCATCGTAAAGCGTGTCATCAAAAGAGAAGAATATCTCAGCGTGGCTACGGACGAACTAACTCTGTGGAACTGGTTTCAGAGTACAAAAAGGCGCGCCGTGAACTGAATAAAGCTATTAAAGAGAGCAAAAGAAGATGCTGGAAAGAGCTCATATACGAGGTGGATAAAGACGTGTGGGGTAGGCCTTATAAGGTGGTTATGACCCACCTGAAAAAACAACAAATGCCATCACCTACGTGTCCTCAACTTCTTCAGAAAATCGTCATTGCACTGTTTCCACAGCAACGCAACTTCGATTACCACTTGGCGCCAGGCGAATTGGACGACATCCCACCTGTCACTGAAGAAGAATTGCTGGAGGCTTGTAACCGTGTAGGGAATAATAAAGCGCCGGGATTGGACGGAATCCCTAATTTAGCCTTAAAAAACATTATAAAGGTAGCTCCAACATTATTCCTAGACGCTTATAATGCATGCCTCAAGGAGGGGATTTTTCCTCGTAAGTGGAAACAGCAACGATTGGTACTGTTACCTAAAGGGAAGAAGCCACCAGAAGAACCGTCATCTTACCGACCACTTTGTATGTTAGACACGGCAGGTAAGATACTCGAGCGTATAATCCACCAAAGGATAGAAGCAGTTGTCGATCCATTCCTGGCAGACAACCAGTATGGTTTTCGGAAAGGACGATCAACCCTGGACGCAATCAACCTGGTTGTTGCAACGGCCAAGGAGGCAATCGAAGGGATCAGATGGAAGGGTGGAGCGAAGAAGTACTGCCTGGTGGCCACTCTGGACATTAAAAATGCTTTCAACTCCGCCAACTGGGACTGCATTATGCAAGCCTTGGAAGAGAAAAACGTACCAGGATACCTGCGTAGGATAGTGGCTAGCTACTTCACGGACAGAATCCTGAGATACGACACGAAAAATGGTCCAAAAGAGTACGATATTACCGGAGGTGTACCCCAGGGTTCTGTTCTGGGTCCACTTCTGTGGAATGTTATGTATGATGGCCTGCTGAGACTGACTCTTCCAAGGAGTGTCAAGCTTGTTGCATATGCAGACGATGTAGCTGTATGGTGGATGGATTCAATGAATGTACAACTGGTGAAACAGAAGACTGAGGCTGTGCTTATTACCAGCAGAAAAGTGATAGAGACCATAAAACTGAAAGTCGGAGAACAAGAAATCACATCACAACCATATATCCGATATCTGGGAGTGATGCTTGATGCCCGACTCAACTTTAAGCAGCAAGTCGAATACGTGAGTGCAAAAGTATCAGCAGTGGTAGCCAGCTTAGCACGACTGATGCCAAACGTCGGAGGCCCAAAGCAGAGCAGGAGACTACTGCTATCATCTGTAGTCACATCAGTGCTCATTTACGGAATATCTATCTGGGCAGACGCACTAGAAAAGCAAGAATCATGGAGAAGGGCTGGACCAGTCTACCGTCTGAGTGCCTTAAGAGTAGCAAGCGCCTTCCGCACAATATCTATGGAAGCAGTGTGTGTCATTTCCGGAACTTTGTCTCTCGGAATCTTAGCTGAGGAAAGACGGATCCTTTACCAACGAAAGAAGTCGACCACACTAAGCGCTGAGGAGCTTGGAACAGAAGAGTGGCAGAGGAGCATAAGTCGATGGCAACTACAGTGGGATGCCACAGTGAAGGGTAGGTGAACGCATCGTCTCATACCAAGGATCAACGTTCGGCTAAACCGGAGTCACGGTGAGGTCAACTATTATCTTACACAGATGTTATCAGGACACGGCTGTTTCCGGGCGTATCTCCACCGCTCCAAGCATGATAATTCCCCAGAGTGCCCATCCTGCCCAGAAGTCAATGAAGATGCCGAGCACGTTTTCTTTGAGTGCTCGCGTTTTTACCCACATCGAGATGAGCTGGAGAATTTCCTGAAGAGGAAAATCCAACCAGAGATAATAGTAGCAGCAATGCTGTCATCAGAAGCTGCCTGGAACGCCACAAGCACTTTTGCTACAAAAGTGCTTACCGAGTTGCGATCCATTGAGAGGAAAAGAGCGAATGACAGAAACTAGAAGGAAGAAATAACATCTTAGCCACCAGAAGAAAGAGCGGCAGCTAATTCCTCCCCCCGCGAAGAAATGCCTTACGGCGGTACCATGGGGGATCAGAGGATAGAAGAGAAAGGGGTTTAGGGTTTAGTGGGTAGGGGCGTCAGCGTGGAATTTTAGTATGACGCTGCGTCGAGTCGCCACATATCCGGGCCAACATCTATGCCTAGAATCCGTAAAAAGGATTCCCCCCCCCCTAAAGGGAAAAACACACACACACACACACACTTACTCGATTTTCAAAAAACGGGGTAAAACCAATAACTTCCCGACCTTTGGAAATTTTCAATTTTCTTAGCGGGAAGTTAAAAAATGTAATAATTCTAAAAAATTGTAGCAACTAATCTTTATCATCGGATTTCGGCTTTTTTTAATGTAATTAAATTAATTAATTTTGCTTGAAAAATGGTAGGATTGATATACGCATATATAATTTTTGATAAGATCATATATGTCTTGATCTGCAAATTGACCATATCAGGACATGTCAGGATATATTCAAGGCCCATAAAGCTTGATACATCTCGATATGAACTAATAAGTCTGGATCTAAATAATTTTCATGTCAGGTCATATGAAAACATATCAGAACATATTTGAGGGGAGAAATTCTTTGAGAAATCAAAGAAAAATCCAACTTTTCTTATATTTTGAAAATGTAATATATACAGAGAACATTCTATCAAGAGAAAAATACAAATTATTAAATATTTAAGTTGTCGTACAAATTTAAGGGTTGTGGAGCTTTAATTATTTATCATTATGAAACTATAAAGGGAATTTTTTCGAAACTGTATCCAAAAAAACTATTCGTGCAGTAACTTAAAAATTTATTGGTCAATTTGGTTAAAAGCTTGTAAGGCTTTTTTCTGTATAATTTTTAGAAAGATTTACCTAAAGTTTTAAAAATTCTATAGAAATAATATATATCTTTAAAATGAGAAATGTCAAAAAAAATTGTCCAAAATTTTAAGTTTTTTTTAAATCAGATTACATAGTTTTAAATTTTGCACTTTTTTTTTTATCATTTAAAGGTTTATTCATCCTGTGCATATGTCGTAAATAAGAAGCATTATTATTTAAGGTATATTATTGATCTTAAATATCAAATATATTAAGCATAGCTCGATTATTTAAGTAAGTACGCCAAAACTTCAGCCTTATTACCCTACTACCCATAAAATAATAAATTTTGTTTTTGTTTAAAATAATTATCTCCTTAAATAATTATTAACATTAAAATCTATGGATGATAATCTTTTCATTATAAATTACAAGAATCTTTTAACAAGGCCGTATTACTCGCGGGTACCTTATAGTTACTATCTGTTACAAATATTTTAAGAAATTTGAATATTCAATCCATTTATCCTATTTATCTCGGAACATTAATCACTTCTTACTCCGGTTACATGTATGACATACAATAAATAAACATCAACTGCATTTGACGTATATACATATAGTTGAAGGCCAGAATCAGGTTTTCTGGACACACGCGACGTTTGTAAGTATAACGGTCACTCGATCGAAATTCTGAAAGCAATAGTATGTATACATTTATCTCTTATATACATGTATATAATATGCCTCCATATATTCCCATAAAAATATTCCAAGAATTGCTGGAAAGTTAAAATTTTGAATTCCTCGCTTACTCTTCTTAAATTTAGTTTCTGAGTTTGAGGTCAATGACTTGTAAGATTTTTATTAAAAAAATTTATTTTCTTATTTTGTTTTCAATTGTACAGTTCATTCAGAGTATTGTAATTCATAATTTACCAATAATTTATTTAAAAAATTATCCTATTATATGTTTGATTGATATTTGATTTGTACTATTCTATAAATTATACAAAAGAAATTGTGGCTAATAAATATTATTTTTTCGTGTAAATTTATGTTATTAATTATAATTTTAATTACACAATGAAATGTTGTAGTTGTTAACATGTTAACATTAACATATGAATGATGAAACATACAATTATTTACACATGTGAAATCATATTTGATTAATAAATTAACAATAATGGCAACAGCTTACAAAAAAATGAATTATAAATATAAAAAATAAATATTTCAAACCATATTAAGTATTAATCATTGACGTTAATCACTCATTTGATCAATCACTTTTAATCATAAATGCTAGCTATTATAGTCAATTGTTGATGTTAACATTAATTTAAATCATTATTGATACATATTAATGTTAATCATCAATCCTAACCATTAATGTGAGTATTAAGTATTAATTGTCAATGTTAATCATTAATATTAATTATTAATGATTCGTTAATAAAATTTTCAAAATATGGTTTTAATGATGATTTAATTAAATAATTTAATTTAGCGTTATTAAGTGATAATGTAGTGAGTTATTTGGCAGGCGTTGATAGCCTATGGCGGCTTAGTGGTAGCCAGAGAACGGCTGGTTGGTTCCGGCGTAGTTATTACCGTGGCTGTCATCCCACCCTCCAGAAGACCAACCATTGGTTGCTGGGGGTGCCCATGCGCCAACATTACCTGAGTTCCACCCTGCGTTGTACGCGGTGGTGTCTGCGCCCTTAGACCAGAGGGATCTGAGTCCGATGAATGCGGAGAAAGCGAGGGAGATCAATGAAGCGAAAATGGCTTTCTTGGCCAACAGGGCGATTCCGAAGTATGATAAAACAGCAAGGGCTCCCATCTTCAATTTAGCGATCGCCAGGAAGGGGAGGAGGGTTTTCAAGAGCTTTTTCTTTCCACGACCTGTAATTTTTAAAAATTAATTAGATATAGTTATTAATGAAGCCAGATTTCAGATAAAATTTGTTAGAATTTTTGGAAATTTGGAGACGCTATATTATTAAATATTTAGTATGAATTTAAAAAAAAATTTTGTTAAATATAATTAAACAGCGATTGTTAAAATACTAAAAATTTATAAGAATCGATTTCAAGAAAAAATTATCAACCAAATTTCATACGATAATATTCGACTTCAAAGAAAAATATCAAATGTTATAAAAAAAAATAGTTTGTTTAAATTCTACATCAATTTTTTTTTTTCAAGATTTACCAAATTTCACACTGAAATTGTATCAATTTCAAATAAAAATTTTTAGTTCAAACTTTTTGTACTTTCTAAAAATTTTGCTCTCAAAATTCACCAAAAAAGTCCAAATTTTACAAAAAAATCTAATCAATTTCTCGTCGAAGGAAATTCTTGTCTAACAAAAACAATTACCTTCAACAACTTCATCAACAGCTTGTCTAACTTCTTGTGGGACGGAATCAACCATTGCACGTGCAGTCTGTCCAATTTTCTCAGCAACTGGCGCGAAGTTAATCTGCAGAACATAAAAAAAATCAAATTAATTAAACTCATTTTTTAGAACAAAAAAAAACAGAAAAAAAAGTTAAACTGAAAACAAGAAAAAAATAATTACCCTGAGGCTGCGTCCAGTCAAAAAGTCGCTAGCTTCATCACTGACAAAGTTCTCTAAGGCACTTTGACGTCCCTCGACATCGTTGGCAGCATCTATTTCCTGGTCGTAAATCACATCTTTAGCAGTCCTCGAGTTCCTGTCAGCAGCCTTAACCAAGCTAACACCACTGAATAATTCAATGTTGTCTTTGGTGAAGAACTCCTTAGCCTTTCTGTAGAGGCTCTTTTGCACACAGGATATGCTGTCTTGTTCGAAGCACTGGTTAATATCCTGGCCGCTAATTAGCACAACGGCCATCGAGAAGCACACGATTTTCAAATACGCGTTCATGTTCACGTTTTTGTTTTAAATAAAAAAATAAAAACTAAATTAAAAAAAATCTAAATTTATATTAAATATAAATGACGGTACTGTCGTTAGACGGAGCTTAACACTCAATACTGTCCCTCACGTGTTTTAAATTTGGTATGGTCCATCCTTCCAGAATCTTTAGCTTATATTTGGCGTTGTCCCCTCCCCACGACACAGGGCCTAAGAAGGAGCCCAGAAATCCCCACCGGTTTGTGTCGTCGTTGTCAGCCGATTTTAAACTTCTATTATTATTATTAATATTAGTATTATGCTGGTTTGGTGGTGGGCAATGCGTATATCGCACGTCGGTTTATGTCCCGTGCTCGTAATCGTTTCTTTACCTCTACTATACCTGCACACCAATACGTTTTATTATCATTTCCCGTGTAAGACCAAAAGTATTCACCAATGAGGTGAACCACAGAAAGATGGTGGGACTGAACCAACCGATGACCCAGGCAAACGACAAATAGAAAACCGCACCTTCACAAATCTTTTTTTATTTTATTTTTATTATTCTTTCTTGTCTTTGTCATGTGTACACAATGTTAGATTTGTCTCTCTGGTGTAAGTGCTTTCAGAGTACATACTTACAGAGACCTATTTCTAATACATGTTTTTTAGTTTCTTTTTTTTTTATTAGAAAATTTTTACCTTAGAAAATAATAAGAAATTTTTATTGAAAAATTTGGAGATAAAAAAATCATGAGTTTACCGATTAATTTACTTACAAATTGTTCGAGTTAAAAATTAATACTATAACTTGATGTAATTAATTATACTTGAAATAAGATCAATATTACCTGGGTGATGATCACACATATGGTCAAACAAGATTACAATGGCCATGTATGGTCTGGTCCTACACCTATTCATTCATGGTCCTATATGATCACACGCATGATCATAAATAGGCTTAGAGGGTCACAATGTTCATGTAAGATTATGCACATGATCATACAAAATCACATATGATCATAGATAGAATTATAAGGGCACAATGTTTATGTAATATCATACACATATGATCATATAAGGTCAAACATGATCACACATAATCATATGTGGTCACATTAATCACACACGTGATCAGGTGGGGTCACATGTAGTCTTATATGGCCACACTAATCACATGCGTGATCATATGTGGTCACGGTGGTCATGCATCATAGACACAAATGATCACAGGATTGGTCATAAATGGTCCTATTCGATCACAATTATTTTATATGATCACACACTTAATCAAACATGGTCACATATGACCACAAGTATGGTTATATATGATCACACCATAAGCTACATGGTCACATATTCAGATAATGTTAAAATTCATAAATGTTAACATGTAAATAAAAATAACCAATCTTAATTTAAGTATAATATACAATGAAAATGAAAAGTAAACTTCTTATGTAATACAACAGTCCCTAAAAGAAAAATTTATAACTTTAATATGACTGAATAACGTCAAAGTAACTCCAATTATTTAGAAAAACAAAGTCATCGTTACTCTTAGACTACTTTTTTATTAGCTAAGATCACATCTTGTTTCTACCTGAAGGAAAACTTGAAATCGTGTAAGTACTCTTGACTTTACTTTTCACAAAAAAAAAAAAAAAAAAAAAAGCTTATAATATAACTAATTTCTACTTTTTTAGAGATTTAACTTTATTGCAAAAAAAAAAAAATTTAGGGGAATAAATTTAATATATAACCATAAAAAATACTTTAGTCTACAACTTTTTTATTGTCATTATTTCCGACAAACTTTAAAGGTGAAACACGTGTTAATTGACATACAAAACGTGATTTGCACTACAATTAGAGCGTAAAAGTGTCAAAAATCTAGACGAAAATAAATTTCAAAAATTCCACCTAGTTTTTTTTAACAAGTAAATTGTGAAAGTAAAATAGTGTACTACAAATAATAATTTTAAATTTTTTTCTAACGGGACTAAATTTCAACTAATTGAATTTTTTTTTTTAATCAAAGATCAATTGTTTCTGTTAAATTTTTTCAATAAAACCAATAATTTTAAAGATTAAAAAGAAAATTTAAAAGCTATATTACATCCGATAACTTTTACAGTTACCAGTAGACATCTCAAATTGATATAAGGACATAAAAAGAAAATTGACGTCAACAACAATCTTTCTTATCCAGAAAACTCATCTTGATTGGAAGCTCTACTAACCCATATATATATATATATATACTATTATCTCGTCCTAAACTATTTTTAGTTGCTTCTCGTTTTTTTTTCTCTCCATTCACCGCAAACAGAATAGCATAGTATCCGTAATTATAATTACAACAGGAGTCTTTAACTTCGGAAGCTCATTGTCAGTCGGCGTTGCGAGTAAACGAAAAAAATGTTCGAATATAACGTATGATCCTATATAATGAATAAAAGTACAAACGTGCGTCATAAAGAGTGAAAGTCACTAATGGAGTAACTATTCCAAGCACGAGTGTTACATGTCACTTGGACATGCTTACAACGAAAATAAAAATTACTCGATCACACTACCAAAAAGTAACTCGAATCATTACCATTCATTACATTATAATTTACTTTCTATATCACTTATTACACGTCATTGTAATTATTATTATGACTCTAGGTCAAAGTTACTCTGTGAATATAATTGAAGAGTATTAACTTCAAGCATATAATAGAGACATCCATTAAAATAAATTTATTATTATTATTATTATTATTATTATTTAATTGAAATTTTGTAAAGTATAAATTGTAACATATATGCGCATGTTAAATTTGTGTGTGTAGGAAATGTCAGCAAAGACGTCATCGGGTGTCTAGTATTTAAATCAATGAAAGTGATAATATAATATCGTCTTATCTCAATAAGAAATTTCATTTTCTTCCAATTTCTCTCGTAAAATCCGTCAGCAATTAGCATAAATGAAAAAATAAAAATAACAAAAGTAAAAATAAATCGATATTTATCGCGTTGCTAAAATAAATTAGCGAAATTGCACGTGTATAATGTACGTAGACATTGTAATATAATGTAACCCGCCCTTTCTCAATACAAGCAAATATAAAGTCGTGAGAGACTAAAAGGCGGCGAACCGCATAAACGAAATGAAATCGAGAAGAGAGTTGGTGCGCAACTCTGATATTGCCAGGTGAGTCTTTCATGTTCTTTCATGGGTCAGAGTAGAAAGTGATGCTGGACAAAGTAGTCCAACGAAGGTCAGAGATCCAGGATACGCTTTTATTTTAGCATGTTTTTTTTTACTACTGACACTTTTTATTTTAATTCATTCATTCATTCATTTATTTGCCTACAATATAAATATAATACCACATAAGTAACTTTTTACGACCACTAAATTTTCAATCTTGTTTTTTTTAATCATCAAATAAAAAAAAGTATGAGTAATAATTTCCAGACTTTTTAGTTTAAGATTTGTCTTTAAAAAAGGTCAATATCCCTTCGAAGAAAACTGTAATAAAATAAAATCTCGGAAAACTAATGTCAAGCTTTGAAAATCTAACAGTCTGCTAGACTATTTATGTTAACCTGAACAAACAAAAGTATACGCTAGACACATATTAATGTGAACGTGGGTTCACACTGCCCATGGTTAATTTAAAATTTAAATTTATCTCTTCGGTATCTAATATATTTGAGAAACGTTATATTATGATCTAGGAATGGATTCTAACGGTATTTATTTTGAAAGCAACTGTTACTGTCAAGTCTATGTGTACTTTGTACTGTATACTGCTAATTTAATTGTTTGGTTTTTTCAGTGCGCCGGCAAGACGTAAGATTAGGTCTTTTATTCTGAAAAGAACATAGGAAGAAATGAAATCGAATTTTCAGTCCAGTAGTTGCCCAGTTGGACTAGATTTTGTTTGATACGTCAAACGATTACGGTTTACTTTTAAATTTTTGCATTCAAAGGAAAAAAATTTCAAACTTATTAATTTTTCACAAACAAAAAAATTAGGAATACGGTTGACCCTGAAGGCCATCCCTGCAACTTCCCGCCAATTCGATACCTAAACGCTTGAAATTGCACTGATGACGTTTTAGAGCTCTTCGAGCTCATAAATACAATTTGTGTATTATTTTGAGCTCTCCGAGCTCAAAAAAATAGCTTTTGTATGCTTTTGAGCTCTTCGAGCTCAAAAGTTTGATAAAAGTTTCATAAAACACTATTTTTTTAATTTTCAAATCGCAATAACTTTTTAATGAATGAACTGATTTTCACGCGGTTGGTGGCATTTGACGCAGTTTTTTAAGCTTCACAAAAAATCATTGAGTTTATATCGACAGAGTGGAAAAATTCGGAGTAATTCCAAAAAAACGCTTTTTTCGGTTTTCTTTCGTCAACGATAACTCACGAACGAATAAACCGATTTCGACCGGACTGACGGCGATTGACGTGGTTTTTTGATGTTAAGAGCTGATTAGTTTTTGAAGTTGATCGGAAAAGCCGTTTAAAAGTAATTCCAAAAAAAACACTTTTGAAAAAAATTTTTTTGTAGTTTTTTTACGATTTCTCAAAATCTACCGGTCCAAAGTGTATTGGAAATATAAGTTTGGGCAAGCCCTTTCGAATGGCACCAACCGCGTTCAAATCGGTCGAGCCGTTCAAAAGTTATAAGAGGTTCACATACATCCACACACACACACACACACACACACACACACACACACACACACACACACACACACACACACACACACACACACACACACACACACACACACACACACACACACACACACACACACACACACACACACACACACACACACACACACACACACACACACACACTCGGGGCAGAAGAGTTACTGCTACCGGGCGCGTCTCCCCGAGCGTATGGGAGAACGCTCGCTGTCCTTGGATGACACTTGGATAATCTTTTAGTTGATGGGGTACAGCGGGTAGGAGTCAAGCAAAATAACCAAACAAAATACGCTCCCTTGGA